ACACCTGCTCCAGTACCTACTAATTCTCACCCAATGATTACTCGAGATAAGGCTGGCATTCATAAGCCAAAAGTCTTCACTACCACAAAGCATTCTCTTCCAGCTTTTGTTGATTCACTTGTTTGCCTTCCTCCAACACCTACAACATTTCTGCAAGCTTCAAAGAATCCAAACTAGATGGCAGCCATGAAGGAAAAGTTTCAAGCTTTGCAGTACACTGGCACTTGGGATTTGGTTCCTTTTCATTCGAGCTTAAACTTAGTTGGTTGCAAATGGGTGTTTAAAGTCAAACATAAACCAGATGGCTTCATTGAGCAGTATAAGGCTCGTCTAGTGGCAAAAGGATTTCATCAGCAACAGGGGCTTGATTTCTCTTAGACTTTCAGTCATGTTGCTAAGCCTACAACTATACGTGTTCTGTTATCAATTGTTTTTTCATGACTGGTTTATAAATCAGCTTGATGTAAGTAATGCCTTTTTGCATGATACCTTAAAGGAGGATGTGTACATGATCTAGCCACTTGGATTTGTTGATTCAACCAGACCACAACATGTCTACAAGCTCAACAGGTCTCTCTAAGGTTTAAAACAGGCTCTTTGAGCCTGGTATGAAGCATTCTACAAACACCAGTTAGTTTATCAAAAAGGATTCTACAATCACCTTCATTTTAGTATATGTTGATGATATCATCATTACTGGCAATTCAAGCTCAGTATGTCAATCTATTATTGCTCAGTTACAAACTATGTTTCCTATGAAAGATTTGGGTGATATTCACTACTTTCTAGGCATTGAAGTTCACAGGTCTGCTAAAGGGTTATTCCTTAACCAATCCAAATATGCTCTTGATCTATTAAAGAAAACTGATATGCTTGGTGTCAAGCTTTGCTCCACTCCTATTGGTTCTACCAAATTAGATCACTCAAGCACTCTTCTACCTGATCCAACGTTTTATAGATCAACTGTTGAGGCTTTACAATATCTAACCTGGACACAACCTAATTTGGCCTTTTCTGTGAATCAAGTATGTCAGTACATGCATTCACCTCGCACCATTCACTTGCAGGCAGTCAAACGCATACTTCGATATTTGAAAAAGACTCTTGATGCCGATCTATGGTTTGCAAAAGGCTCTCGATGCCTCACTGCATGGCTAATGCGGATTGGGCTAGCTGTCCTATTGACAGAAGATCAACGAGTGGCTACTGTGTTTTTCTTGGTCCCAATCTAATATCATGGAGTACAAAGAAACAATGCAATGTTGCATGGTTTTCAACTGAGGCTAAGTATCAGTCTCTAGCCCATACAGCTGCTAAGCTTAGTTAGGTTTGTAAAATCCTGCAGGATATTTCCTTTCCCATTCTCAAGACTCCTGCAATCTTATGTGACAACAAAAGTGCAATTGCACTAGCCTTTAATCCTATCTTCCATGCTCTGACTAAACATGTCGAAATTGACTGTCACTATATCCGAGAAAAGGTTCTTGGTGGCAAAGTCAGTGTGTATCATGTTGCTTCTCTTCAACTTGCAAACATTTTTACTAAATCTTGGCCATCTGCTCGTTTTGCAACGTTATCTTCCAAGCTTTCAGTTAGATCTCCTAACTTTAGCTTGAGGGGGTGTGTTAAGGATACAATAGGACCACCAACTAATGATGTACCTAATTAAAACCTTACTTAGCTGTTAAGCTATGATTATTAGAGTTTGTTATAATTGTTGGTGATATAACTAATTATATCTATTTATATTGTATGTACACACATTCTGTTGTAATCCAATGAAATCATTTTGTACAACTTCTCTCTCTACAGTTCTCTCTCACTACAATTCTCTCTCTACTCCTAGCATTTCTCTCACAGAGCTATGAGTTTCTACACTTACCTCTAGATGTTTGGAAGTTGATAAAGGAAAATCTATAGAGAAAAAGAGAAATGAAGAAAAGTGGCGGAAAGACAGTGAGAGAGAAGTACAAGAAATGTATAAAGAATGATAAACAAAAATAAACAAAATGCTTAACAAGAGTATTGTTCTCGTATACCCTATGATTTAAGAAAATTATGGTCCCCACCGTTAGATCTTAATCTAACGATGGAGGTTAAAGTACAACTGCAACAAAAGTTAAATAATCACCTACCATTGGGTTAAGATCAAACATTAGGTAACCACGATTTGCTTGGACCATGAAGTCTAGGAGAACCGGACTGTGCTTATCAAATGGGTCTTGGTTTTTGTGCTCACATTACAAATTTACTGTCTAGCTAGAACAAATGATGGCTAGACAACCTTAACAGACGGCTGGTTTTCTATGATGCAGTGCAGACTCTTAAGATTAACTGCTTTAACTTTGAACATTCTACGATTTCCTTGAGCTTGAAGAAACCCACCTAAATAGCAACTGCTTTTGTGGCATCCTCCCTTACAAAGTATGGCCAACCTTACGCTCCTTTACGAGCTTGATCTGAGTAACAAAAGATTCAAAGTATCTTGATCTTCGGTACAACGAGTTTGAAGGGCCTTTACCTCCAGAACTTTTCAGTACAAAACTCGACGCCATTTTTGTTATGACAACCGCTTCACCAGTGTAATTCCAGCGACGTTGGGTGGAAGCTCAGCCAGTGCAGTGGTGTTTGCTAATAACAACTTTGGTGGGTGCCTCCCCCCAATCATACTCAATTTCGCAGATTCTTTGGAGTAACTGTTGTTAGTTAACACAAATTTGTCAGGGTGTTTTGCCACAAGAAGTTGGGTTTCTGTACATACATCTTTACATTTGACCGAATCTTCAGACAAAGTTTGGCACTTCAATTTACAGATGCTCCCGGAGATGAGCTCGGCCAGGAGGAATGAATGGGTCACTAAGCAGAACACAGCGAGGCCCTTTGCTTAACCAGTAAATCACTTAGTTTCTTTATAAGCTGAGGATCCGAGCACATGTAATCCTGGAAGGATTTCCTCAGATCCTACAACAGCTTCTTGTTGTTACAGCCGGGACTGCTATTAGCAGTTTTGTAAAGAAGTTCCTCCAGAGTTCACCATTCCAATATCTGAGCCCAGTTGAAGGACAAGAATTGAAATCAAAATCGTCAAAGCATAAACTTAAGAGTGAAGTTGAAAATAAGAGCTGGAAGAGATGTGTTTGCATTCGCATTGCTCAAGTTACGACCCAACGCAAGACTTTCTCATTTTTTTAAGGTAAGGTTTGCTAATTTAGTGATCAAGTGGGAACGAAACAAAATCGATAACATGGACAAATGGTCAAGTATGCAGAATTGAGAGAAAACTACCTTTTAAAAGATGACTTGGGCAGATAGAAGCGTCCACCTCGGGTGATGGTTTCTTGTCAATTTCCACGTAAGAATTATGCAGCATAGTATGGACAACAACACAGAGGCCATATGTGTCTACCTGGTAACAACAAGTCACACAAATTAGATATAAGAAATGTTGACTGAATTTAGAATGGAAAAAAAAACCATGGACTATACTTGATATGTCCATGGCCTATTTTCTTGCATTTCCACACAATGAAATCTAGAAGTCCAGCAATCTCCTGTAAACTCCACATTGTCAGGAAAGAGATGGAGATCTATCCCTCTTCCCCAGTCGACTAGGCATAGACCCTGTAAGATAACCCCAGATTAATCATAAAAACTAAGCTGAATACTAGTCTTATGCAACCAGAAATAACCTGATCAAGCCACGGACCACTTCGCTCACAAAATTCTTCTTCTGTGAAGTCAGTTCTATCACGAGATACTGCTTTTGTAAGGTCATTCCTGCCAAATGATAATTTAATTGCTGATGCAAATGTGTAAGCTTTATAACACACAAACAAGATGTTAAATGAAAATTGGATTTTTTTTTCTCCCTGATTACAGACTTCTTAAAATAAGTTGAGCTGACGAGCTAGCGGTTCTAACTATAAATAAAGTTGTCCCATGTTACTATTGAAGATAAGAAACTGTCTCCCATGCAAAGCGTAGGTTAGTTATAGTAAAAACTTAAGCTAAAAGCATGTCCTGTGTGAAGTAAGAATAAGACTAGAAAAAGAAAGAATGACAATCAATATTTCTAGTCATGACCTCTAAGAGGAAACAAAGGCAGATGAAAAGCAGATTGCGAGTAAAATACCATTAGTAAGGTCCAGTTTTCCGTGTGTTTAAGTTTATTGCATCCTGCACAAGATCTTTAGGTTATAATAAGCATGACAAGAGTATGGCAGACATGAAAATTGCTACGATGTATGTTTAACTAACCTGAAGTGTTCCACTAGCAAGATAGTAGGAGACAAGGATGCTACAGTCAGGATAGAGATGCATTCTATGAGCGAAACCAAAGCTTGACCTCTGATTCATTAACATATCAAGTGTAAAATAAACAGACCCAGGAACTACCAATAAAAAGTTTGGAGGATCAGGAAATGCTTACTTCCTTGCCTGAGATCCATTGATCAAGTTGATGATACAATAATACATATAAAACTCCCAAGGGAAAGCAGGCTTTTGTATCTGCCACCGATTACAAAAACTGAAACTATCCGGTAATACACTGGTCATCAAGAGAAATAAGTCCGGTAGATTTTACCTTCAATGCAACAACATCTTCAGGATTACAGTTGACATATGCCTTGTATACTTGAGCAAAGCCACCCTGGCCTGCACAACCAGTGATCTGGTACTTCGTACGACGTACAGTGTGGGCAGCGAACATGATAAGTTGACCTTATACCTTCATATGGAGCATCCATATATAAAAATAAAGAATATTTGAAAAATCGAAACACTCAATTAATTTGATGGAACTGAATGTTCTGAATATCCAAGAAGATTCTGGCTCCCTGAGACCCTAGCTCAGGTGGTAACACTACACGGTAGCAGTGAAGTTGGTTGTAGGTCCAATTCTTGAGTGAAAGAGGGAATATAAATAATCAAAATTAAAATTAAAATAAAAGAGGAATGAGTGATGCATTAAGGTTCAAGAGAAGACTTTTGATCAGGATATAAAATGTATATCTGGATAAGGGTCCATGTAGCAAAAGAACTGCTTGTTGGTATTGGCAAAAACCATGACAAACACAGGTCCTAACGTAGGGATAACATATCCTCCAACATAATTTCTATCTGATAACTGGATGCTCAAGTGTATGTGCTTAAAGAGATTGAAAAATGAGAATAAACCTCTTTCTTATATATCGAAGGAAAAATGCAAACAGACAGTAGAAAAGACTAATTGTCTATCCATCTCTAAAATCTCATTAAACAATTTACAGTGAAAAATGTCTTCTTGTAAATCCAAATTGAGCCTCAGCATTAGTGGGTTTCAGCACCAGATACTTATGAGTTTTTGGTTTAGAAGCCTAACATTCCTGCACCACTTCGTAAGAAAAGTTAAAACCAGCTCCCTTAGCTAAGAAGTTAGAACTCCGTAAGTAAAAATTTATGTCTAAATTCATATATTGGAATATAAAAAAGAAAATGAGCCAATAATGTGAATCACCTATCTCAACAGTCTTGTTCCTCGACGAGCTCTTGAGAGAAGACAAAGCAACTTTTCCTGAGTAAGCTTTAGTAGTAGAATGGTATCCCTGAGTCATGTGTGCAAAATCCAAAAAATAACTCTTAATCAGACGACATTAGAAGTTATGCAACAACAATGAGGAAGAAAGTATCTCACTTCATATTTCGTAAGTTGATTCACTTTCTTCAACAGGTCTTTCATAGTGGAGCTGGACCATGGGTTAATTACAATCATTATTCAACAACAAAACTGTAGACCTCCATTTCGGAACACACACACGTGCACGCAAAATCCTGTCGGAGACAAAGAGGCGGACCTTGAAATACCCATCTGATAAACCATGTGCGCATCGAACAATTTCTCTTTGGCTTCGAGAAAGGTCGCGTACCAAACATAAAGCAAAGAGTGGCCAACACAAATCTCCCTGTGACATTTCCAGAAAAACGCTTTTGAAATCTTCAATGGAGTCCATCTACAAAATCCATACAGACAAGTCAAGTAATTAAATGTTTCATATTAATCACATTGACAAACAAACTAAACAACCTCCTCAAAATATTAACCCAAAAAATGCACCAAAATTGGTATTATTAACATAATCAAAGCAACTAAACAAATATAAACAAAAATTAAAAGTAATAAAATAAATTGACCCATCAAAGATGCACAAGCAAAATGCATGAGTTAGAAATTTTATGAAATACGTACATAGAGGAACCCTAATCTTGAGAAATCTGATGCCGTCCCTGTACTGAGCATTGTCCTTGAAGGCCGCGATGCAGTCGGTTAGAAGCTTGGTGAGATCCGACCCAGAATTATTTCCGGAGTGAATATCTTCGAGGACTTACTTCACGGACCTGGATCGGTAACTAATTTCAGTAAAAGTTTGAAAAAATTGAAGGGAGAGAGTGAGTAACAGTGCGAGGGCAAGAGAGGGTCGTGGAGAGGAGTGGTGGGTAGCAAGTCGGCGTCCATGGCTTCTGCTGCTATTGTATATACAAAACGATAGGTGAGATGAGAAATCATTCATTCACATTCAGAAAATGAAAAAAAAGAAGCGCGTAAATGTGTTTTTAAATTTGGAAGGACAGGTTTGTAATTTAAGGAAGAAGTCCTAAATTTCACTCACTGGATAACGAGTTTGATATCAAATTGACAAACAAACTAAATTTGACTCACTAAATACTACTAAACCGTAAGTCGGCATCCATGGTTTCTGCTGCATTTGTATATACAAAATGATAGGTGAGATGAGAAGAAATGCTAATCAGAAAATATAAAAAGAAGCGCAAAAATGTGTGTTTAAATTTGGTTGGAAGGGTTTGTAATTTCTCAAACCGCGTAAGCCAAGTGTTGTCAATTGTCAAAAGCATACCGTAAGGAAGACAAATCTTGGTTTGGCTTTTTAAGTATTGTTTCTACTTAATGTTACGGTTTAATAGTATTTCAGTAATTGAAATGTCGTAAATTCACTTACTGGATGACGATTGTTTGGCTATTTTAACAAAAACGCAAAAGAAAAAAAAAATCAATTTCTAACAGGCTAGCTAAACGACCAGCAATTTTAGTTTTTTAAAATTTTTGAATCTCACTATATTGTATTTATACAATACGCTTCTCCTTCAATCTCTCCATTTTGTCCATTCAGCCTGACTAAATGGCGGAGTGTCAAGACTCAAAGTGTTAGAGCATGATAAATTTTGGAGGTCAAAATACGAGAACTGGTGATCCTAGATAGTGGTTGATTAAATGCAAACAAAATGCATAATTAAATATGAGCGTGTGAGAAGTTAAAAAGAGTTTGTGCTTATTATTTTTTTGTAAGTGATTTGAATCGGTAAATAATAAAATATTTAAAGATTGTTAAAATAATAACTGTTGTTGGAGATTATAAGTTAAACTAGCTAGCTAAATTAGTTTTTGGACATTATGTTCGAAATATAGGCTATAGTGGGGTCATGGCTGTGTGGAGAAAGATAGGATGAAAGTTGCTTCAAGGCACGTAGGAATCTATGATTATCTTTTAAACATAATTCACCATTACAATTTGTGTGCAAATAAAAGGTGCGAATTAGTCATGTGGATACAATGAAACTTGGTTTAACGCCTAATAATTGTCGAGGTCCCCACACTCCTAAGATAATCCCCAAATACACCAAGAATACGAAGACGCTCAAGTACCACCAAGAACAAATCTGTATAAATTTTTGTTTTTGGTGCTTTGGTTTTCAATGAAAATGTAGAGATATTTGTGAGACTTTTCATTGAGCGTTTGTAGGAACTTTTATAGAGGTTTAAATGTCGCATTCTGAATAGGTTAAACAATCTTCCAAAAGTGTATGTCGCACCATTTGGTTAAGAAGCACCACTTACATGAAATATTATTCATTAACTAAGCTAACAAAATTTTAACAGTAGGAGTTAGTAGATTTTATTTAAAAGTGTTATTTGCTAACTCGTTTGGCATTTTTATGCTACTTTAAAAATATGTCACTCCGAACTTCTCTTCAACAAACTCTTCAAATTTTATCTTTCACTTTAAAATGTTAAAATATCTTAAATTTACCATATTTTGTGGGGCCTAAATTTTATTTTTAAACACTTCATAAAACAATACCTTTTTTTTTTTTTTTTTTACACTAAGGGGAAGGGGAGTTCGACCACATAATGGGCAGCCTAATTTGGCTGCGAATTCGTCATTCACGGGATTCGAACCTAAGATCTCTCACTTCCAAGTGAAGAGAAATACCACCAGCCTATAGTACTGAGTGCCCATAAAGCAATACTTTTAAATAAAATATATTGTGCAACTCAATTTGCTAACTTGAAGAAGTAACAACTGACCTTGATAATATACAAAATCAGTTGCTAATTTTTTAATTTGCTAATTAGGTTGCTACATCCGTTGGAAATGCTTTTTTTTTTTCTTTTTTTTTTGGATAGTATCTTGGAGACTAAAATTTTACTCAAATTTGCAAATAAAATGATGTATCACCAATAGAAAATAAGTACGTTAATCGACATTTAAGTAATAATCCAATCATTAATATCGACATCATTTGAGTTATAAAATTTAGTTTAAAAATTTGATATACCTAGTATTATCCCTTTTTCTTATATAGCATAGCAAATTTGACTTTGATACTCAAATGCTACCTCCTTGGAGATGTTCGTAATTGGTGAGGGTTGATTTGTAAACATGGAAACAAATGGAAAGGGAAAGACACCCAAAGTATTTGGGTTTTGCTTATTTGTAACTTTTCGTCGGTATTATCCCCTCCCATCTGGAATCTCTGACCGCTGCATTATTGTTGTACAAGTACAAGCTGCTAAACAACGGACAAGAAGCAAAAGACTCGTCACAGAAACCCTTAAAATTATGGAGGAGATTGTTGTGGTCCTCACTCTCCCACTTCTCCTCCTGCTCCCTCCTAGTGCTGCCTCCCTTCTACTTTTTACTCTCCCCCTCCTCTTGTTCCGCTAATATCTTCCTGCTCTTCCTTCCTTCCTCATCTCTTTTTTACTAAAAAAGGTGATATATATCATCTGGGGTCGATCCATTGATGGAGGGAATGAGTAAGTTGGACTTGAACAAGGTAACACTACACGGTAGCAGTGAAGTTGGTTGTAGGTCCAATTCTTGAGTGAAAGAGGGAATATAAATAATCAAAATTAAAATTAAAATAAAAGAGGAATGAGTGATGCATTAAGGTTCAAAAGAAGACTTTTGATCAGGATATAAAATGTATATCTGGATAAGGGTCCATGTAGCAAAAGAACTGCTTGTTGGTATTGGCAAAAACCATGACAAACACAGGTCCTAACGTAGAGATAACATATCCTCCAACATAATTTCTATCTGATAACCAGATGCTCAAGTGTATGTGCTTGAAGAGATTGAAAAATGAGAATAAACCTCTTTCTTATAAAATGCAAACAGACAGTAGAAAAGACTAATTGTCTATCCATCTCTAAAATCTAATTAAACAATTTACGGTGAAAAATGTCTTCTTGTAAATCCAAATTGAGCCACAGCATTAGTGGGTTTCAGCACCAGATACTTATGAGTTTTTGGTTTAGAAGCCTAACATTCCTGCACCACTTCTTAAGAAAAGTTAAAACCAGCTCCCTTAGCTAAGAAGTTAGAACTACGTAAGTAAAAATTTATGTCTAATTTCATATATTGGAATATAAAAAAGAAAATGAGCCAATAATGTGAATCACCTATCTCAACAATCTTGTTCCTCGACGAGTTCTTGAGAGAAGACAAAGCAACTTTTCCTGAGTAAGCTTTAGTAGTAGAATGGTATCCCTGAGTCATGTGTGCAAAATCCAAAAAATAACTCTTAATCAGACGACATTAGAAGTTATGCAACAACAATGAGGAAGAAAGTATCTCACTTCATATTTCGTAAGTTGATTCACTTTCTTCAACAGGTCTTTCATAGTGGAGCTGGACCATGGGTTAATTACAATCATTATTCAACAACAAAACTGTAGACCTCCATTTCGGAACACACACACGTGCACGCAAAATCCTGTCGGAGACAAAGAGGCGGACCTTGAAATACCCATCTGATAAACCATGTGCGCATCGAACAATTTCTCTTTGGCTTCGAGAAAGGTCGCGTACCAAACATAAAGCAAAGAGTGGCCAACACAAATCTCCCTGTGACATTTCCAGAAAAACGCTTTTGAAATCTTCAATGGAGTCCATCTACAAAATCCATACAGACAAGTCAAGTAATTAAATGTTTCATATTAATCACATTGACAAACAAACTAAACAACCTCCTCAAAATATTAACCCAAAAAATGCACCAAAATTGGTATTATTAACATAATCAAAGCAACTAAACAAATATAAACAAAAATTAAAAGTAATAAAATAAATTGACCCATCAAAGATGCACAAGCAAAATGCATGAGTTAGAAATTTTATGAAATACGTACATAGAGGAACCCTAATCTTGAGAAATCTGATGCCGTCCCTGTACTGAGCATTGTCCTTGAAGGCCGCGATGCAGTCGGTTAGAAGCTTGGTGAGATCCGACCCAGAATTCTTTCCGGAGTGAAAATCTTCGAGGACTTACTTCACGGACCTGGGTCGGTAACTAATTTCAGTAAAAGTTTGAAAAAATTGAAGGGAGAGAGTGAGTAACAGTGCGAGGGCAAGAGAGGGTCGTGGAGAGGAGTGGTGGGTAGCAAGTCGGCGTCCATGGCTTCTGCTGCTATTGTATATACAAAACGATAGGTGAGATGAGAAATCATTCATTCACATTCAGAAAATGAAAAAAAAAGAAGCGCGTAAATGTGTTTTTAAATTTGGAAGGACAGGTTTGTAATTTAAGGAAGAAGTCCTAAATTTCACTCACTGGATAACAAGTTTGATATCAAATTGACAAACAAACTAAATTTGACTCACTAAATACTACTAAACCGTAAGTCGGCATCCATGGTTTCTGCTGCATTTGTATATACAAACTGATAGGTGAGATGAGAAGAAATGCTAATCAGAAAATATAAAAAGAAGCGCAAAAATGTGTGTTTAAATTTGGTTGGAAGGGTTTGTAATTTCTCAAACCGCGTAAGCCAAGTGTTGTCAATTGTCAAAAGCATACCGTAAGGAAGACAAATCTTGGTTTGGCTTTTTAAGTATTGTTTCTACTTAATGTTACGGTTTAATAGTATTTCAGTAATTGAAATGTCGTAAATTCACTTACTGGATGACGATTGTTTGGCTATTTTAACAAAAACGCAAAAGAAAAAAAAAATCAATTTCTAACAGGCTAGCTAAACGACCAGCAATTTTAGTTTTTTAAAATTTTTGAATCTCACTATATTGTA